AGAGTCTTTAAGGGAATGAGAAGAATCCAAAAATATTGATTTCAATTTGTCATGGGAGAGAGCAGGAGAAACAAGCCATTGGAACAAGTTCTTGAAACTTCCCACTAGCTGGAATGTCTCACAGCAGAATGAAAACAAACAATCCTATAAGGTTTTCCTTCCCAGAAAAGATTAAGTCCAGTCCCTCTAGCCTTGCTCGCTGTCTCCGGGAGCATCTGGTCCTGTTTGAAACAGCAAAGAATGTGGAATTTGGGGTATATTAGTCTGCTAGTGGTGGTTTGTGGGGGAAAAAGAAAAGGGAAAAACTGTAGAGGACATCTTGCTGCTCCAGTAGAAGTGAGTAGAAGGAAAAAAAGGGAGAGAAGTGAGGAGTGCCATACTTTGCTCAGAAGGCAGCAGCAGCCCCCTGCCTTTGCTGGGGTGCTGTGAGGGTCCCTGCCTTGGGCAGCCCTCCGCCTCTCCCTCAACGTGGAGTCCTTACTGCAGGTTTCCCACCATGTCCTGAGCCTGGGAGCATGCTGGAGGTGAAGAAGCTGCATTTTGAGCTGTTGTACGTTTTGGGTAATTTGTGTGTCAGATCAATGGGCAAGAAGCCCATGCAATTGGGCTCCTGGATTAGGGGCTCAAAGAAATCCTGCCTTATATGACTGAGCTCTCTGCTGACAAGGAAGGGTGCAGCCTCTGTCTTAGTTTTCTGCCCTCAATAGGCCAGGCAAGAAAGAACTTCAGTGTTTAACTTGACTTTTTCATATTTAATACGAAGTCCAAGCAACATCACTGTTTTGACAACTTGACATCTTCAAGAATAACGGAGGGCTGAAATAAGATGAGAAATTGATATTTGAAAATGAAGATGAGTTAAAATCAATGCATCTTAAGGTGACCAGACCATTAACGTGAGATGAACTTTCTTGTGACCTATAAGCATGCAAAGATTGACACCTATGCAGGATCAAAGGAGCTTATGAAAGGCTAAGGAGTACATGAGAGGAAATTGCAAATGTGTAGGTTGTCTATCTTGAGAGTGGCTTTTATTAGTTATTGTACATAATAACTATTGTGTCAGAAATGAAAGGGATTAACTCTCACCCAAGGTACTGCACCTGAGCAAATATTGTCTTGCCTGGGTGAAATGTGTGCCAACACAAAGAGGACCTGGTACGAAGCTACGTACTGCTTAAGTCTCACTTAAGTCTTCAAAATGAGGATTAAGCAGGATTTTAATGGTGAATATACGGGCTAATTTCAACTCTTATTTACTATAGTGTGTGTCTCCAGGGCTTTTGGAGAAATGTAGAGTCTCACCAGAACACATCAAAGCAACTGGAAAGTACTTTCTCTGCAGGCTGACCACTTCCCAGATTTGGGAGTTTCTCATGTCACTGAACTGAAGCTCCAAAGGGCTTAGAGAGAAACACAGAGAAGCTAGCTGGATAAGTGGGCTTTAACAGCTAAATGTTTTGTCCTTTGCTGTGTCTTCTAATGGCTCAAATACTTTGGTCTATGTGAGCAAGCAGGGGAATATTTTTGCTGGGGTCAGAAGTTTTTTCAGAAAAATACTGTAAATATAGTACTGCAGTTTACAGTTCGTTATTGGAAGTGTGAATAGAAAACATTTGAAATTTCAGGATTGGAGTAGCAAGCACTTTCAGGCTGGAGGAAGAAAATCCTCAGGACAGAGGAAATATTTTTTATGCTGAAACCTTAAGTCTAGATCTGCTTCCAGCAGATGACAGCCACCTTTCAATCATACTCTTGCATCTGTACCCAGTTTGCACACCTCTTGCTAAATATTTTCCTGTTTGTGGAAGAATGGTGAAATGGTTTCACAAGAACACAGACCATTTGCTTGACAACCGTTCCCTTCTTTAATTGTCTGTCTTCAGCGATAAGTGTGCCTCTGTAATGTGGACTCTAACCACAAGAGGGGAAAGAAATGGAATATAATGTTATGCACGGCCTGTCTTAGTTTTCTGGGGAATCCTGTATTTATTATGTCTGCCCTTCCTCTTCCGTGACATAGCAGGGAGGAAGAAATGAGGAACGTCATGGGGGTATTTCTGTAAAGCCCCTCCTGTCTGCTAGCCCTTTCCCAGTTGCTGTGAGGATACCTTATAGAGATGCCCTTGTTTTTTCCATGCATGCTCTGAAACATTAAGATCACCAGAAGGATGTGAGAAGCTTGGGAACACTCTATAAAACTTTTCTTTCTGAGAGGATGTTTGAAACTGCTTTAAAAATGTTTCTGAAGAGTTTGTAGCACCTGCCACCCTTCCTCTAGTTTCCACATGATAAACATGCTTCCCTTGGGTACAAAGCCGGCACTGAGTCCTAAGCCCTTGTCTATGGCTGGTTTACTACAGTTATTGGTTAGTTTGAGGGATCGTTTTATTTTATTTTATTTTATTTTTTCCCCCTAGATTATTTCTGAAATGCTTTGTAACCCAAATGTGTTCTGATGTGATTTTATTTCATTTGTCCTGCATTCCCTTCCTCCCCGTCTCATACTTAATTTGGTCTTGCACATATAACTGTAAGCACTATATTTTTATGCTTTGCATTGATACTCTGGCTGTGTTCTGATCTGAAGCACTAGTGATTGGAAGCTGATTAGAGATTGAAAATAGCTATATCAGTGCTGTCTTGGGTTAAAGGAAAAAGTAAGATAAAATCACAGATCTTTCCCCACTAGCTTGTATGGTTCCCTACCTTTCTGGCAATCTGAGTGGAGCACAACAAAAATTGTTCCTCCTGGTGAAGGGACATATAACTTACTCGGTATAAATAGTATTACAATCAGCTTGTTTATGTCTAGTGGCAATTATATGAAGTTGCTGGCTTCATATAATTGCTACTAGGCAGTGAAATGGAATGGATCCCATCCTAGTCCTGTGTATCTTTGAACTCTGTATTTCATGAGTTACCTGTCCAATATCTAGCGATCACAGTATCGATCGCTTTTTCTCCATGGCCTTTGCTGGCAAAGCCTTGGTCTTGTGTTCTGGAATAGTTGATGAACAGTAATAACAGTAGTTAAGAATGAGAATGATTTGCATGCCAGGACCCATATATACTTCTCTGACACTGACATAGGAGGAGGCCATCAGGTGGTAATGAGCTGCCCTGTCCTTCATTTAATATTTGCCCCGTGTAGGAGCACTGTGAATCAGTTCACTGTCCCCACAGGATTCCTTTGAGGATGTCAGTGCTACTGTTGCCATTTTACAGACGAGGACATTTTTTGGCAGAACAGAGCCAAATAACACAACCAGTGTTCCTCTAATATCTATCAGATGGCAATACATAGAATATAGGAATTCTGCGTTGCAGAACCTTGTAGCTACATGCTTCCCAAATTTTGCTATGGACTGCATTCTTCTTGACACTAATCGGAAGGACCCCTGTCGCTCCAGCTTAATTTCTGATTCCCTAATTTTCCAAATAAAAACAGCGCAACAACTTTTGTATAATATTTAAGAAATAAGTTGAGGTGAGGGGAAGTCTTAGAGGAATCAGATCACAGGTGTTAAAACTTGCACCTGTGTGGCTGCGACTAAGCTGTGTGTATATACAGGGCAAGGCAAGAACCTTCCCTTGCTGGAGTACTGCATCCAGGTGTGGAGTCAGCAGTACAGGACAGACATGTCCTGTTGGAGCGTGTCCAGAGGATGGCCACAAAAATGATGCAGGGGATGGAACACCTCTCCTATGAAGACAGGCTGAGAGAGCTGGGGCTGTTCATCCTGGAGAAGAATAGGATCTGAGGTGAGTTGAGAGTGGCCTGTCAGTATGTAAACAGGAGCTGCAGGAAAGAAGAGGACAGACTTTTTTTTAGCAGTCTGTGGTAACAGAACAAGGGGAAATAGCTTCAAGCTTAAAGAGGATAGATTTAGGTTGGTTGTACAGAAAAAGTCTTTTGCAGTGAGGGTGGTAAGGCGCTGGCACAGGTTGCCCAGAGGTGTGGTGGATTCCCCATCCCTGGAGACACTCAAAGTCAGGCTGGATGGGGCTTTGTGCAACCTGATGTAGCTGTAGGTAACCCTGTTGGTTACAAGGGAGTTAGTCTAGATGGCCTTTGAAGGTCCCTTCCATGTGTAAGGATTCCATGATTCTATGCTGGGTAAGTTTATAGGGAGTCTTTCCTCTCAGCATCAACAAGTTGTGTGTTCTTTAAACATAAAGGTAGAAGTAAAGGAATGTCTGTTTCTTTATTATCGGTATGAAAAAGTGTATTTAATTTTTTGTTCTTACCAACTTGCTCACATTTTGACAAAGAGCAGCAGAAAAGGGGGAGGAGAAAGGAGAGATGGAAAGAGAGAGGGTCAAAAGTCCTCTGTTGTATTATTTCTAGAAAAGCCATCGCTGGTGAGCTTATTAGTAAGGCATTTTCAGTGGAAATACAGTATTTCTGCTGGACAAAATGCAAGAATGTTTTATCTCATGGAATTTCCCACTCAGAAATGGAACAGTTCTTACTGCTGCAGCTGCCTTGGGTCCTAATATGGATTTAGAAAGTAGCTCAAAATACCAATCAGGACCCAAAGACACAGCTGTTATGGTGGCTTTTCAAAACCTTAAAGGGACAAACAAATAAATGTCAGGAGAAAACTATGCCATAAAAATTACCAGTTAAAAAATAGAAAGGATCCTACATTTTGCTGCTGCATTATTAGCCATTCATTTGGATTTCTCTAGCAGCTGGGTCTGCCTAGAATATGCTATGAAATTTGTTCTGTTTCTTGTTTCATGTGCAATGAGTCCAAGCAAAGACCTTCTGTGAAGATGTCAGTGCCATTTTGCTCCCAGAGACTGTAGCTTTCACCTTGATGCAGCATTGTGACGACAGTACTTTTGTTTGTCCTAGTTTTGATGTTCTTTTGATGTAAAATGCATTTTCTGAATGAACAGCTTTGCCCTTTGTTTATAACTCAAACTGCTGAAGCCTATTTTCAACTGACTTTTCACTTATGCAGCATTTAAATGTGAAGTTTTTCTTTCAGAAGCATCTTCAGAGGGCTGTTGGATACCAGAATCTCACTTCTGGTTCAAGAAGTCTCTGATTCATGGACTGCTGCAGGAGAGGATTCTGAGGAAGTATCACAACATGCTTACCCTGATCCAGCCCATCGTTCAGTGCTGGAGGATAGTGGGATGGATCTGTGGTCTCACCTGGTACAGTTCTGTACACATAATGTATGCACGTCTTCATTCCTCATGCCCTTTTTTGGACCTCACTTACTGAATTTCTCATTATGGAACTCAGAGTCATTTATGGGAATGTAAACTTGTGCAAGCAGAAATCCCAGCCTATATCTGTGTTAGTGAACTGGACAGTGCCAGGAGCAGTTGACGTTAGTGGCCTGTGGTGCTTCACTGTTAGCATTCTCCATAGCATGATGTTGCCTATGCCAGACAGCAGTCTGAATGATATGGCATGGGCAACAGCAGGAGCCAGGGACTATTCCAAGCAGGCAGATATGGATGAGGACTCCTCTTTGGGGAGTGAGCAGAAGGAGAAAATTTAGCCATATGGACACGAGCTGTGCCATCCAACTCATGCTCAGGGGCAGGGAATTGGCGCTGGACTGTTTTGTTTTCTTTTCCAAGGCAGGCCTGTTGATTTCTGCACCACGCTGCCAGGTCCTAAGACAGAACGTGTGTATAGCTCTCTGCATACAGGAGGCAATGCTAATGACTGGCTCCCACTGCAAAATATGTCACAGAGAACTTCAAGAGGATTGTTTATGTCCCCAGAACCTTGAGCTGGAATAATGGTTCTAATTTATTTATGCACATTTTGACATCTTGTTATGTTTTATTCTGTAAAGCTAAATACGGTCTCAGAACCTTGGAGTTACTGCTACTAGGTAATACCAGAGAGGGATTTTATCTCCAGGCAGATCTTTTCCCCTTTGTACAGACTTCAAACTGCTGTTCTTGCATCTGCATATCTGTTTTGAGAAAGGACAAGATTCAAAACCACTGTCCTTGTGTATCTGTTTGAGAAAGGACAGTGAAACTGAGGAAGGATGTGGCCTATCTGCATAACTGGGTAGGAACAGATTGACTTTGCATCAACAGTGAATGCTTGAATAACCCATTAGCCAATGACCTTGGCATGGGACCTGTCACACTCAGACAAGAGCTGTGTCCCTTTCTCCTATGAATACTTTCCTGCTCTCTAATGCAACTCAGTTTTCAATTTAGATCTGCTAAATGCTACAGTTTAGGGTACCCCCTAGAGACGCTCAGTCTCTCTTTGTCCATGAGGGTCTGAAAAGCAGTTGGACTTGTTCTGGTTTGAATGCATTTTATGGTTTATGAAAGCAATTGTATAGTTTACATAAATATAGTATCTCCAGTGTCCATTATTACCATAGAGTGTCTATTATTATAGTAGAGTTTATAGCTAATCAGGTTGTTCACAGAAGCATGAATAATTTGGTAAATCAGTAGGATACAATTTTGGTAGATTGAGTGGTGGTTTTGACCAAAGAACTGGCTGGTAGGAGCACTGGTGATGAGAGATCTGTTTCTTTACTAATAAGCGCAGGTCTGTTTGACTTCAGTGTGCTAGATATGTGAACATGATTCTAGGAGAGCATGTCAAGAAAGAAGAGACCAGGTATGATTGCAAAGAAACAATCATTTTGGGATTTGACAGGTTCTGTTCTGTATGCTTGCATGTATGCTGTACTGTGTATGCTTCCTAGACCACCAGAGAAAAAAAGGGACTTTAAATGAAAACAAAAGAAAGAGCAACTGTAAAACCAAAGCACCTGATGTTGGATTTTTTTATGACTTTGAGTTTCTTTTTTGTTCTCTACAGCAGTGCTATTAAAAAAGTAATGTTGGGAAATATTCCCAAGCACTGCATTGTCTACATTTAAAGTGTTAGATGAGTCCATGGCTGGATTTTGGCCAAGCCCAAGTAGGATTCTCCCAAATGATTTATGGGCATTATTCAAGGATTAGCTCCAACCAGGACCCTATTTTGAACAAGTACATGACCACTTTGTTTTGGAGGCTAAGAGGTTTAAATAGTGTGGACAGGGATTGTCTGTAATGGGCAGCTGTAATCCCCTAGTACAGTCCCGATTTTCTAATACAGATGGAGGTAGTGCAAAGGTCTGTACCATATATGTTTGGAAATAGCTGAAGCAGGGAAGAAGAAAAAAAAGTATATTTAACTTAATCCAGGATATAGAGAGATGACAGAAATCACATTAACACAGGCTCTTAATTCCTTGCTGAATATCTTCTATTGGCTCTAAGCAGTAGTAGCACAAGAAAAATAACATTCATGACGGGCCAGCGTGGATCCCTGGAGTCTCAGTAGGGACTGCTGAGAGACGAAGCTGTAAATATGTCATGATAGACTGAAAATAAATAGGTACCACTCTAGGGGGGCGCTCAGTACATAAGCGTTGTCTAATGTTCCCTAACCTGAGTGACAGTCTGTGGGACGGACTGATTGTTGCCTTTGGGCTTCAGTTCTACTTTTATGGATTATTTTTATTATTATTTAAAAAAAATAAACCAAAACTTTCTCATACCCATTTCTCCGACAACAGAATTTCCAGAACAAAGCTTGGTCACGTGGAGAACACTTGTTACTGCTTTAGATACAGTGGGAGGCTGTTACTCTGCTGCTGATTCAGAAGCATTGATAAGAATGATTAGGCTACCATTCATTTATTAACTCCTCAGACAAAGGTTTGGCTAGGTTTATAGTCCAAGAATGAGAGCTACTGCCACACTAGCATTTGTGTTCAGTCATTCACCACCAAATTCAATGATTTGATTTTTTCACTCTTGTCCTTAGAGACTGCTGTTGATGACCCAAGTCAAAGGCATAACTGATGGCTCTGGTAATGCAAACAGAAAGATTTGCATGAATGTGGAGAGTTAAACTGAATTCTGTCCTCTTTTTGATATCAGGAGTTGTTCTCAGATTGTGTTTATCTCACAGGAATGCTGTTCTCCAGGTTGATTAGAATGGCACTCTCATTTAGTTCTGTAATTGATTTGATAGTTACCTGCTCACAACAGCAACTTCCTGATAAACAGTGTGAAAATCATGAGTGTTAGTCAGTGACTTACAGCTTTTTATGTAGTCAAATGCAGCTGAAAATGTTGATATAAGAATTTGGGTCAAGTCTTGACTATAATCTTATCTCAGAACTGCCTAAGAGTACTGCATGCTCCTCTGTCCTCTTTGTAAGAAGGCAGAAATTTGTCGTGTTTCCCACAACGATTGCTCTTTCTGTTAGCACAGACAGAACTTGAAGGTCATCAAAGACATTAACCACTGGAAATCAGATGTAAGATCAGTACACCATCAGTACAGGCTTTTCCTAGCTTGAAGTATCTAGATTGTTTTCAGAAATGACTAGTTGTGATACTCAGGCTGTGAAGGTGCACTACCTGGTCTTAGGGCTTTGCCTTGAATTCTGTTTCTTCTTACAAAACACACGTAGCTGTGTCCTCTTCTCAGGCAGTGAACACTGGCAGCAAGTAGCTGGTGCAGATCCTGCCAGCAGGTGTTTCATCTTAGTTGGCTCTTATAGGGCTTTTTGATACACTACCATGAATTTTTTTTTTTGAGTCTGTGAATTCATGTGAAAATGAATTATGGAGCTGAGGCCTGGCCTGCCTTACAAAGTTGTTGTGCTCTAAATCATTTTTTTTTCCCCTGTAATCAGTTGGGGCCTGTGGGTGTTAGAAAGGCCAACTACTGAACGATTTCCCATTTTCATACACTGTGGGAAGGAGTTCTCATTGTTATACCCCTGCTTCAGAAAGATTCACTCTGCAGGACAATGGGGTGATTGCCTTTCTGGCAGATAAGAAAGCATATCATGGCAAATATAAAACTTACTTTCTTTTCTGTTGTTTCAGTTCATTTTGCTTTCCTGTCAAAACCCAGTTTCTGTGCCCTGAGGTACCAGTATATATCTCCAGCATGTCATCTATTCTTTATTAGCCCTTTGAAACCAAGCACACACTGTACGTAAGATATCATGCTTCATCTAACAAGAGTATCTGGCTAGGTAAAAATAAGCTGCTGGCTGAAGACTCAACACTCCATACTGCAAGGGTACGTGGATATGCAGAGCTGCAGCCTGGAGTAACTTTTTGAATTTTGTATGTATGAGCATTTGTGAAAAAGGAGATTGTGAATTTGTATGACCTTTATAACGAGTTGGCACAAGGCTGTATAGTTTACTTTGGGCTGTATTTTGCTAGCTTTTGCACATATGGAATAGCATCTTCCTCTGCAATAATCTCACCTATATAATGGTGTCAGAATCTGGCCTACCAGCTGGAGTGAGCTATTTCACACTGTATCTGCTATTGCTTCCTTTTCATCTGTTGAGATAGAGCGCTTTGCTGTGTATCCTGTTATCCCATGGCTCTCTTTTTGGAGTTACGTTCACACATCTTGATTCCATCTGTACTCTGGAAGAGGCCCGTTAGGTGGAAGATGTATCTGTCAAACACATGTAGATTCTGGACAGCAACCCTTTACGGGTCACGCCTTGAAACATTACTAATTTGATTTCAAAGGGAGCTATTACAAAATGTCTTTTGTGTTGTTAGGCCTCAGGAGAAGGACCTCAGTTGGACACAGTGAAATGCTGCATTTGCTATAGCCATGGAGCCCCTTGTTGGAACAGATATAAGAATCAGTCGTGTCTTTGTCTTGGAGCTCGGCACCTCTTCAGGAGAAGTCCCCTGATGAGAAAGGGAGACGGCTGAATGTGTGTTAAAAGGACCAGGAGACAGAAACTTAGTGATCCACAGCATTCATCTAATGCTGTCCAAGGCTGTCGAGCAACCTCAGGAAATGAGTGGAAATTTGACTCTTGTTTGGCTATCTTGGGTCCTGAAATTGGGGCAGAGGGGGCAAGAGAGTTGACATATACATCTGTGCGCTCTGTGGCAGTGCTTTGAACCTCTGTGTTGTAGCCTATGGCTTCTTACGATGCAGTCATGTGCATTTTTAAGACCAAGAATTAGACACCTTTGTGCTTAAAGTTAAGCATGACCGTGACTCACTCAGCTGTCACTCTTACAGATGTGAGAACCATATGGATGGGGAGAAGTAACCTAGACCGAAAATGCAAGTTGAGGGATTGCAGGGCAGGAGACCAAACACTGAAAGTGCATCTGACAAAAGTGAATAATTG